TCCTTTCTTGCCTGAAAGGAGAGATATCTATAGATCTTTTAGATATACAGACCAGAACTCTGAGGGCAGCTCCGTTGAGCCACTGGCGACGGCAGGCTCCTCCCCCGGAAGTCAAAGTGCCGCCAGTTCTGAGACTCTTCTAGCGGATGTAATCACCACTAAAAAGATGGTTTTGAGGGTCAACAATCTAAGACTGATGGTATGAATGGGCTCGAAAGGCTCAGCCGTGAGAGCTCTAAGTGCTAGGGGCAAATCCCATGTAGGGTTAACGGTGGACTACCAGTGGCTTGAGTTTAGATGCGCCCTTCAAGAAGGACTGGACCCTCGGATGACAAGCGAGGGAAAGTCCTTGGGCACCTCCCACCAGAGTCGATAATGCCGCAGTCTGTCTACGTAGAGTGCTGGGCGTTAGCCCTTTGTCCAAACCCGATTATAAAAAGTCTAAAACCCATGGAACGGAAGACTTAAGTGGGTCCACGGATACTGTCCGGCACCACCTGCAGAAGGGCTGCCAGGTAGCCTCATAAATTTGTGTCGTGGACGGACGGTGAGCAGCTTGGATCGTGGCGATGACCTTGTCAGAGAAGTGCTGACGCATCAGGATTGCCCGCTCACGTGCCATACGGCTAATTGTAGCAGCTGAGGGTCCGGATGGATGAGAACCCCCTGCAAGAGTCGTATCCGATCATCTGGTATTCTCCACGGTCGGGAAATTGAAAGATGGACCAGGTCGGCATACCAAGGGTGTCTGGGCCACATTGGCGCGACCAGGAGAACTTCCGCCTTTTCCAACAGAATCTTCTGGATGACCAGCGGTACGAATGGGAGAGGTGGGAAGGCGTATAAGAGACCCTCCGGCCGGGGGCCGTGAAGGGCGTCAGTCCCTTCCGCTTCTGAAATGTAATACCTGGTGAAGAACTTTGACAGATGTGCATTGTGCGGTTGAGCAAAGAGGTCCACGTGGAGCCGGCCGAAGCGGTGAGCCAGTTCCTGGAATAGAGTCGGATGGAACTGCCACTCCATCTGGTCTACTGTGGTTCTGCTCAGCCAACCTGCCTGTACATTGGCTGTGCCCGAAATGTGCTCCGCCCGAAGTGATAACAGGTGAGTCTCCGCCCAATGGTGAAGACGTTCCGCTTCCAGCATCAAGGCCCGGGACCTGGTGCCTCCCTGGCGGTTGACGTGTGCCTTGGAGGCTACATTGTCTGTGAGGTCTCGAAAGTCGTGGAGGGCTAGGCAGATCGCTCGAAGCTGATGCTGTTCCGCCATTCCTGGGCTGAGTTAAAAAAACTGAACTATCCCAGTCAGAGGAGGCGTGGTCAACAATTACATAACTCAGTCTCTAGGCTAATGGACAAAGTTAACCCATGGCAGCGCACAGGAGAATGCTCCAACCAAAGGTGGTTACTATTTTCTCTACTTGCATTTTTACATGCTTTCAATCTGCTAGGTTGGCAGAAACTGGGGCAAGTAATGGGAGATCACTCCATTACATGGTGCTAGGGATTCGAACCGCCGAACTGCCGACCGTTCTGATCCACAAGCTCAGCATCTTAGCCACTGAGTCATCGTGTCCCTTATGTTGCTATTAGACATCAGTTATTACATCCTCATTAGCACTCCAATAAAGTATGGTTTTTAGTCTTTGGAAAATCTGACGATTTTCCACAAACAACTAAAGGAATTGTTTGGGCTAAAAAACAGTATAGCTAAGCACACACTTAACACGTGTAGAAATTAAATCACCTTTTTCCTGACGTGAGAATCAGAACTGGTAGGATCTTCAGAGCTGTATGAAAAACTCTGCATTCCAGTTGAGAAATCAAATTGACTCATTTCTTCACTTAAACTGCTATCTACCATATATGATGCAGATGCTAAATAGTGTGGTTCAGCTAGAAAGAAAATAGTCCCTCTTAAATAAGTAAGAAGCTTCACAATAAAAATGACAAAATCAGTTAATCAAACCTTTTTGTATGTTTCCATTAAATAGTGCTAAATAAATTTTCTTCTTTAATATTTTTCTGAATTTTCTGATTTCATCATTACATTGCATATATACCTTAATTAAAAAAATCTTTAGTGAACATTAACACTGAAAACACCAAGGGACGTGGTCCAGATTGTTATTCCTAGAATTTGCCCTGCTCAGTTGCAGAGTCCACTTATTTTTCACTGTGTTGACCATAGTTATATACCAAAGGTGTCATGGCAGCATGTAATGAGGCAGCTGGTTTTAAGGTGGCTTCTTGCAGACCTGATGCCAATTAGGGTTGAGAGCAGAGGTGGGTTGCTGCTGGTTCAGCCCAGTTCAACTGAACCGGTAGGGGCGGTGACGGAGGCTCTGCCCACCTTCCTGGACGCTTCTGTGCATGCGCACGTCCGAACCGGTAGTAAACCGGTTAGCAACCCACCACTGGTTGAGAGGGAGTATCTGGCCTTCAGACCAAGAACTAGAACACAGGTCTCTCCACGCCCAATACAGCACCTTAACCACTCACTATACTGGCTCTGTAGATTGGTTTTATTTCTGTTTTCAAAGTATATTTATATTAGTACACGTATATTCATGCTCGACTCAATAACTTAAGCCATCATTGATTCATCTTTTTTGTAGACATAGAAAATACCTGAATCCCCACTCATTGTTTGTCTGGCTTCTTTCCTAATGGTTATATAGCGTTTTTTCTTTTCCAGAGGAACCTATAAAACATAAAAAACTTTCAGGTATGAACCAGTGATTGCCGCTTAATTACAAATTTAATATGTTTACATAATTTCTAAATAAATCAAGAAAAATACAACAATGAATTATGTGGCATCTTAAACACTAATAAATGCATGATTGTACTACCCAGTTTGTTTCTAGGCACCTGGCTTTTGAATGGCATGCTGGACAGTCATGCTCCAAAAAGTAGAGAATCTGGTTAGATAAAATTCAGTTTCACTTACCCTCTACATTTGATTTAATTTTTGCCACATTAAAAATGACCCTTTGGTAAGTTTTTTTGGGGGCTAAATAATCATCGTAGGGGCTAAAGCAGTGGATCAATATTGTGGATCAGAACTTTCCTACATATTCATTTTGTTTAAGACCGGGGCCCCAACATCCGCTCCACACCCCAGTATTGGGCTGCAGCTTATTGAGAACCAGACCGTGCAAGCAGTAGGAGAGTGCATACATGAAACTCTGTTTGCATGACAGGTGTGTGCACAAAACTATCCCCCCTTTCCCCTTCCCTGCTGGTCCACAGAACTGGAAAGATTGGGGACTGCTGTGTTAAGACAAGATAGGTTTAAATTCCACCATGCCAAAATTAAGCTTGGAATTCATAATCCATATCAAGCAGCAGCCAGCAGGAAGAACTATGCTAACGTTTGCCAAAGGACACAATCCATTCATAGTACTATAGTTATATAAGAATACTAATTCAAGGAGGTATACTTTGATACTTGTCTTCTGTTTAGACTCCTTAAGCTTACTGTAGAACTTTTATAATTGAAAAAAAAATCTCAATAACCTTATCTAGGAACACTAACTTCTTATATTATCTATATCACAATCTAGTATCATGCTAGATAAAAATGATTACAATTTCAGAACATCTAGGGAATAAGATTTCTTACCTCAATCTCTATGGGAAATGAATAGCGATGCTGCAAGTCTAATAAATTTTCAAAAATAAGCAGATTCTGTAGAAAAAAAGCAAATTGTAATCTGATCACCATGAATTACTTTATTACATTTTTTTAAATTTAGTCATAATATATCGTTACTACTCAATATGCAACCTAGCCAGGTAATATACATTTTTTAAAAAGCAATATTAGATACAAAAATAAATATAAAAATACAATATTAGCCAAAGGCAGCTCAAACACCAAAGACAAACACTCAAGAGTAACTCATAAGACCTCTGGATTCAGGAAGCCTCAAAATCCAAGGCTGCTTATGCTTTATAGGATTGAGTCTGATTCATTTTCTCCTCGTCCAGTTTCCTCAGAGTCTTTCTACAAAGAATCTTGAGGGCGTTACTTGGACAATCCAGGGCTGATATGTACAACATCAGGACACTGACATATAACGCCATGTAAGAGATGACCTAAACAAGAAGCCTCATTTAGACATTAAACAAGAGTGGATAGAACTGAACCATGACACACACACCCCACTAAGTAAGAGCTGGGTACAAGGGTCACTAACAAAAATGACTGGAACCAATATTAGAGAAAGAAGAAGAGCCCCTGCAATACCATCTCTCCCATTCCCAAATCTCCCAAACCAGCCAAGAAATATACCATGATCAATGCTTTTAAGACAGCATTTGCTACATTTCGTATTCTTCTACCTATTGATAAGAACACAATTCAACCAATTTTGGAAGATGAAGGTGATTCTTACTATAGAAATATTGAAAAAGTTTATTCATTCAAGTTCCATTAATTTCATCTTGGTGCCCATTTATTTATTTATTTATTTATTTATTTATTCATTCATTCATTCACTCACTCACTCATTCTATTTAGTTTGTTGCCAACTGAACTGCATAACTCTTACAGTAATTTAAAAACTACAAAATCAATGAACTCAAACCACATCAAATATATAAACCCAATACAAATTAATATTAACAAAACCCACAGGCAGGGTTTAAAAATACTCAACATATCCACCATATAGTCTGTTGACCACCTTTCTACACCAAAATTCCATCTTGGAACTAGTATCTGTTTACTACCACGTACTTTGTCTGGTTTTTCAGTGAACAGAAAACCTTGATAGAATTTACTTTCATTGAAGACATGGCTGATAACTGCAATGGCACAATTATATGCAGCACAATGAAACTGCCTCCTCTTTTCCAACAACTGTGTTTCACCCGACATGTTTTCTGTAAAGGCATCATAACAGGACCTTGAAAGGAAGTAAAAAAAAAAGAAAAAATATCAAGACATTTTTTTTAAATGTGTGTATTCTTCCCAAATCTGCTGTGTATGTGTGCACTAGAACTGCTAATACATGTGAACGACATCAGGGTTATTAGTTGAGATCTAATTTGTTGAACAAATACATTCTAGCAAATACCAAACTGAAGTTGTAGATAGCTTTAGTTAAGATCTGTTTATTTATTTGGTTAATATTCCATTCCAATCATAACCAACCCTCAGTCTAGGGTGTACCCTATTTATATAAATAAGGCTAAAAGATACAAATACCATAAATAATACAAAAAATGTATGTAACACATAAATAATACAATATAAAGGACAAGGCCAGAGGAAAAAAGTAAAAGTGTACATTCAGTAATCTCCAAACTGCAGAGGGCAGCAGTTTTTAAGTCATCCTAGACCAGGAGTGTTAAATGTGAGTTGTCACGGTGGTGTCATGTGACATATTGGGACTTCCCCCCGCTAAACCAGGGTAGGGCGGGGCCATCCGACCTGCGGGCTGCGAGTTTGATACCCCTGTCCTACAGCCTTTTGAAAAAGTTAGATTTTGATGGCCTTTTCTGAAATCTTTATCTTCAGGTGTGCCTGAAAAGGATTCAGACCAGTAAAATATTTTTATTGAATTGCTAACCAAAATAAAACTTATGAAAGAAAGCAACATAATTTTTCTTTAAGATTTTCAGGATAAACCTTTAAGATCAAGAAAGAATTGTGAATTTTCTTCTAAACAAATAGGAAAAGTTGATTGTTTATCATTATTAATAGTGTAATACTGCTCCTCCATGTAGTTACCATGACACTTTTAAGGCAATATTTCAAAATATTTTTTTACTGAATATCATAACCAAATTAATTATTGGCAATATTGTTTTAAAGCATACATGAACAATTCTCACTTTATAAGTGTTTTTGTAAGTTCATTCCCTTCTACATGGGTAGAAGGCTGAAAAGCGTGGTTAATTTCAGAATCTTTAGAATATACATCTTCTTTAGACAGACGGGAGTACATAACTTCTAGAATCTTGTAATAGCTTATTTTCTTGATTAGCTGGGTTTCAAAAGAAGTTTCATTTGACTGGAAAAATAAATGAAAGGAACAAAATGTCAAAGGAGCTTCATACATGAATATGTGTGTGTGGTTTTTTTTTAAGTAATAAACTTATTTAGTAATAATTCATCTTTACCTTTGTAAACCTGGACTTCAGTGTATCCATAGCTTCTATGATAATCTTACTTAGAAATTGTTTCAATGCATCTAAACTGCAGTGAAGCAACAGAATGAGAAGACATCGATCTACATAAGCTTGTCGGGTTGTATTTGAGCAATGGGTTTCACTCTGGAACATCTGATGCACAGTATCCAACAACAGCACTTGCTTTTCACAGCTGCCCCTAAACATCACAATAAATTTAAGTTGAATCTTCAGCTACTTTCCTACTTATAAATTATATGTTATCCATAATCTTTCAATGAATTCTTTCTAAAGCAGTGACGTTGTTAAGTCATCATGAAAGAAGTACATATTTTTACAACAAATGCACCTTACCTAATGCTACAAACCAATCTATTTTTCTATGTACCTGAGACAAACTGCAGCTGAACAGCATAACCCATATTACTGCTATAAAAATCATGTGTGTTGTGCCTTCCCTAGTATGAGTTTCGCCAATAGGAAAGCAAGTGAAATACATATAAACACACAGAAATTATACCTATCCATTTCAATGCGTAAACATAGCATAGCAGCTGTCATTGTTCACATTTTAAGCCTTTAACATATTACTGAACTCTTGTTTTTTAATCATGCTCTTAATATAATGCAATTAAAGAGTATGTTTTACTAACTACCTTTTGGCAATTCTTTTGAAGTTAATCTCAAATAATTCCTCCATTATATGCTTATGGTCCCTACAAAGAATTTCTGTCATCAGCTCCAACAATGTAGAATTCTGGGATAGTTCTAGTGCATCTAAAAACTAAAATACAAGAGAATAATTATAGAGTTAGAGAATATGATAGAGAAGGTTAGTAAGATTGCAAAGTTTTGTGTTCCAAACTTTCTCTGAAACCAATGATGAGGCAGTAACAGCTCTTAAAAGAAATAGAGAATAAAATTTTAGTCCAATAAACATATAATAACCTGCTTGTTTGCATGCAAACACACACACATAAACATATTTATAATTTCATTTACATAATGGTAGTGTGCCTAAATATACATGATTAAAAGAGAAACAAATCAGAAAGGACTGTTTCCATACATTAAAATGTATTCTTAGGCTTATATACAGAAATTCATTTTTGTTTCTAGTATGTTTAACATTGATTGATATGGATGGCCATCTCACTAGAACAATTCTGGGTGCCAACAGCCTTTAAAATTAAGATACAAACATGAAATCCCTTTAAAAATTAAGAAATTTAGAATTTTAAGGTTATGTCAAATGATGATTATAATTTCTAAAAGTGTGAAAATACTTAACAATTACACATGAAACTTAGGTAAGTTTTTAAATAGCAAAATCTTATTACAAATAAGATACGGTAATTTCTCTTTATAATACTGTAATATTGCATAGTCTGTTTGTTCCTATAGTTTAATCTATAGATTTGTTTGCTTTATATCAATTTGGACTTAGAATTAGTAATCTGCTAAAAATAAATAAACTATGCAAAAGGTCATTTGTAGATTTTTTCACTTACTTTTTTTACGCAGTCCACATAGTTATTGTACTTTAAAGTTCTCTTAGGAAACTCATCTGATGTCGAAGGGAAATTATATGCTACAAATTTATCAAGTGCATGCTTAAGACTACAAAGTCCTTCTCCGACAAGTTTAGTGAAGAATGGCAGAATAATAATTGCTTGACTCTGAAATAAATACAATTTACAATGTTTCATATTAAATCTAAAATTGTATTGCCTTTTGAGAAACTTTGATGCAAAAAAATAGCACACAACAAGATAAGAACGGTAAATTCTGGTAAGATTAAAATTAACCAATTTTCACATTGAACTCTGAAAATGTTTTAAGCTTTCATTTTAACTCTGGTTAATTACAAATTCTGAATAGCATTTGGACCAATGTAAACTTTAAACATTTAAGACTGAGTAGGGAAAACAAGTATAAAAGCAGCAGGCTACACCATAACCTTTGCTCAGATGTAACAGATGATCATTTATGAAGTCTAGTTGGCTTGTATATTTGACCATTATCTGTACAAACAAATCATAACCTAAAATGGCCTTGGCAACTTTAGCTTTAGTTAACTGTACAGTTTGTCATTTCTTCAAAAACTGGTTTTTTTAATTAAGTGCTAAGAAATGTAGATTACAAGAGCTGAAACTGTTGCATATTCAATATGCAAATACCAGCTGCGACCTGATTGGTTGGTCGTTTTGACAGTTGGTCTGAGTGCTAGTATAAATACCCTGACAGTTGCAGGGAACGTTTGAATCGCTTGTCACCTGTGTTATAATAAAGATCTGTCTTGCACATGGCTCCTGCGTGTCAATTCCCTCACAACAACAACCCACACGTTTACAATAGAAACCACTCATATGGTTAAGAAAGACTCTGGCAGATATTTTAGTAGAAATCTTTAACCCTGTTAATTCTATTCAACAGTCAGAGGTTTTTCTCATTTTCTTCCCTGCGAAGAACATTATCTTCATGAGTGAAGGCATATAGATTCCCCAGGATAATGTTCAGGATCCAATCTGGATCAATCACCAGGACCAGAGGTTTTGTCTTCTGAGCTTTTGGACTCGTGCAGAAGCTCATCTTCCAGGAGGGCCCCAACACGAGTCCCAAATCTTGGAAGACAAAACCTCTGGTCCCGGTGACTGACCTAGATAGGATACTGCAACATTCTCTTCAGTTTAACTGCCAGCAACAGATTACATAGGGGTAGGTTTCATTTACTCAAAAAAAGTTCTCAGTACAGATATCCACAGTAAACATATGAATATTTATCCTTAAATGTTGATTCCGGCACAACTTCCATGAAGAATCCTCAGACTTACTCAGAGTCCTTGAGAGTCAGGCAGCATTAAATAACAATAATAATAATTCTCATTGCAGTTTAATGTTTCTAGCTAATCTGAATAAAGCTAAATGGCCACTGTAAGCAACACATTCTTTATTTATAATAATAAGCATGCATAATGCACTTGCCTTGAGATTTAGACCCAATTTCTGGTCAACAAGCAGACTTGTGTATGTATTAAAAACATGGGGAAATGCCTCATGATGAGTAAATGACACTGAAGAGTCAATCTTGAAAACATAAAAGAACTTATATTTTAAAATACACTTAACTAGAATAGTAATCTGATAGTATGCCACAGCATTTCATTAAGGAAAGTTTACATTATCTGTTTTATATTTCTATATACAATATACTTCTATACTTTTGTGTTATGTAGAGCTCTTAAGAACTCTTACGTTAATTACATTAATAAATGCAAAAAACAGCAGCATAATGCCTACTAAAATCAAAGCATGCTTTCAAAGACGTAACAGTTTTATTATAATTTAATTTCATATTCGTTCCAATTCTAAATATATGCAGGCAAATAACAAAATACTCTCAATTATATAATGAGGTTGGATACCATAAACCAAACTGACAGAAAATTGGATAGAAGATTGGACAGAAGATTGGTTACAATATTGGATAGCTGTAGAAATACCACTGACATTTAAAAATTATTCCAAAATCAATGTTAATATTATAACCCTAGGAAAATTACCCAGAGGCGGCTGGGCGGGGACGGACGGACACACACACACACACACACACACACACACACACTTACCTGCAGAACTTTAGCCAATAGGGTCAAAACAGACATTTTGCTCTCAGGAGAAGCATCTTTGGCCCACCAGTGATCAAGATGTCCCCAATTTTTTAAAATAGCAGCTACTAGTTTTACTCCTTGTTGTTTGCAAGTAGAACGGTCTTTAAAGCTTTGATCCAATATACCATTCAAAACTGTACTAACCTGCAGTGTAGGATATTGAAAAGATACAATATTGAAGCATTTTAATTTAATTCAACTTTTATACTGTGGAACAAAAACACAAAATGTGCAAGATAAGCAATTGGTAAGTATACTTTTAGATGAGTTTCTCAAACACTAGAAAGTATCCTTCTAAGAAATTAAGAATGTAAAATCAGAATGGTCTTTCAAAACATCCATTACTTATAGAATAGTAACAAGAAGATCTAGTGGTAGATCTATTCTAAAAATAGAAATGGTGATCAAAGTAAAAGTAATAAAAGGCTAAAAAATACGATTAAAAATAATAACAAATGAAAAACAAGTCATTTAACAAATAAAATCAAGAAGGAATCAATGATAATATAGATAATATATTATCTATAATATATATTATATTATATTAATAGCTAAAATATAGTTATAGTTTCATTGTGAATTTTTGCAGAAATAAAACCTAAAAATAAATATGCTAGTATATTTTAAAGGAACATTTTAAAAATTTAAACATTTTAAAGGAAAAATCCAGTACCATTTTGGGGCTATCTAAAGCTGATTTCATAAGCTCAAGTACAGCAATTTCCAGATTTTTCAACAACTCCCGGTTAATGATTTCTAAGAAGAGACTGTAGAAATATTCTCCATGAGAAAAGTTGATAAGACTTTCTTGGGCTGCTCCAGACAATGGTACAGATAACATCAATGTATTCAACAAGAGGCTCACCAGCTCTGTGCACTAAGGGAAATAAATACAAAAGAGTATTTTTTTGTCATTCAATTTTTCCCGTGTAACTTCTTAGTCAAAAAACACAAACAGAAAATAATGCAGAACACATCAGTATTTTCAAGGAAAACCACAAATCTTTTGTATTTGAACAGAGGCAGAAATCCTTGGTGAGATGAGCAATACTAGCCCACAGCAATTGCTTTGTTCTTGCAAACTTCATCTCTACTGATTCCTAAGCACTAATCTTACAATGTTAGAGATGAAAGCAGAGACCCAGATGGTGCATCTACAAATGTCTCCCATCGATTGTGCTATTTTCTCTTTTTGGGATATTTAGGTTTACAGAATAGAAAGGTTATTCAATGCTTCCAGGAGAACAAAATACTGATGACACCATAGTAGGATGCAACTGCCTAGCAAAACAACAAGTTGCTTTTGGCAGTAGTTGATATTTCTGGAAGATCTACCAGCAAACTAATCCCTCTCTTTTTTGCTGCTTTTGACATTCTGTTTTTCTTTCCTCAATGAACTAAGTGTGGAAATAGGAAGGGGCCGTTTTTCGTCCTGCCCAGGCTTCAAGAAAGCCTCCGGAGCCTGGGGAAGAGCAAAAATTCCCCGCGTGGGTGGGTCGCACGAACATGCGCAGGTGGGCAGGGTACATTGAATTGCGGGTATGGGTACACATGCACACGCAATAACACATGCACACACAATTTTGGCATGCCTAGCACATATGTGCAAGGGGAATCTTTACCTTTTAACCCTAACCCATGCCAATTTTTAATTAAAGTTATTTCATTCTCTCTTTATGTGATATAACATTAACTTGGATGGTGGCTTATACAAGGGACAGACATCAGCAACTGGAAGGTTTCTTAAATACATTTGAATTCCAAAGAACAGAGGGAGACAGAGAAGACAGAAAAGAGACAGATGGCACCAACAAGGCCAAGGCCTTACCCGAACACCAAAAGCAAAAGCCAAATGCAGAAGTCCTTCAGCTAATTGTTTACTGCTGATGTTTAACGAAGGAAGGGACCTTCTTTCATCTCCTGGTGCAATACCTTTGTACACTACTAAAAGGAGCTTAGAACCAGTTTCAAAATGAAGATCTGCACCCTTTGGGGAAAGAAAAATGATAACACATTTGAATAAAAACAAATTTATAATTAAGCAATTAAATAAACGTCACCTAAAGTTCTTACAGTCTTTATCATTATTTTAAAAACTAGAGATTCTTAAGCTGAATAACCGATAAAAAAATAATGGCTTTCCTCCAACACATTAAATTGAGAATTACATCATTTAGATACCCCTAAAAGAGCGATACAAAATGACAGTTACAGACACTTCAACATGAACAAAATTATTCAATAAAACCAACAGTGTGAATTCAGACATCAAAAAAAAGTGTCTAGCAGTGAGCAAAGCTAGAAATGTTTTCCCACACTAATGAAGAAACACAATAGTGTTTCTTACCGTGATGAATGTTTAATGTTCAGTGACTAACAAACATGTTATATTACTGTGATAGACATCTGAACTCCCATTAATTCTTTTTTACTTTGCAAACATGGTGGTATCAATACATATATTTTTACCTTATATTGCAAGATACAGTGCAATACATTAGCCTTGTGAAGCTGTCTGCAGGCAGAAAGAATGGATACGTATCTAATGTGATCCAGCCGGGCTTCTGGATTGTACAAATCAACAGTGCAAAGCTCTTCAACGCTAACGAATAAAAATGAATAAATTATGACTGTATATTATTTATTTATTTATTTATTAAATACATTTATATGCCGCCCAATCCCGAAGGACTCCGGGCGGCTTACAAAAATAAAGAGAAAAAAAAACACGTAACGTGAAAAGAAATAGTTTAAAAACAGCAACACCCTCATACATTCATTCTAATCGGGGGCTGGCCCTCAACAGTGAGGTCAACAGCCCCAGGCCTGCCGGAACAGCCAAGTTTTTACAGCTTTCCTGAAGGCCATGAGAGTGGGTATGGTCTGG